ATAGTGTTTCTTATAAAATTCTGAGAGTTCTAGCACATTTCCTACCAATAGCTGATCAATTTCATCATTACCTTGTTCTAGAGGACTTGGTAGGTCGATATGGGATCTGATATGTGTTATATATAATGAATGATTTTATTTCTGATTATTTCTTGTAATTGGATCAGTAGCAAAGCTAATTCTGAATCATCTGGAATAAGTTCAGCAGTTTCAATATATAAAACAACTCTTTCTTCATATTGAGAGTCAGTAGGTATATTAAATGGTTCTGGAAAATCTAATAATACCATGAGTATAGCATATAATTCTGACTTTTGAATAGAATCATATGGATTTTGAGGCATTGTTACTTAAATTTCCTGACTTGTAACCTGTATTTCCTGATTTATTTGCATCAGTATAGAGTGTAGGAACTCAAGAAATTGGTGTTCCCTGTACAATATGAGGAAGAATCCAATTAGTTATCTTTATAAACTGAAGTCTTTTGCTTTTGGGATATTGTTGCTGATCTCTCACACAACAAATTACTGCAAGCTCTTTGCCAATGCTCATTTTCTATCCTTAGTGAGGAAATTTCAGCTTTCGTAAATGTACCACAATTTCTGCCCAGTCTATTCCTATTAATTGACAAAGTCTTAATTTTCCTTCCAGAATCAATTCAGAAACCTTTTCTACACAGGTCTTTATTTTTACTCTGTTTGTGTGGTGAAAATATCCGTTATAAGGTATTATCTTCTCTCTGCATAAGAATTCCTGCGGGAGAATATATAGAAGGTAAAATAACCAGGATACAATCAAGCTCTGGATCTAACTGATCCTCCTATACATTCTGTAATTTCTTTTCTACCCAAACCAATTCTCTCTCAGTCTCAGCTGATAGTTTTCTTGGCATATTCAAGTCCTTATCACCTTGTAAGGTTTGATAAATTACTTAGTTCTTGAATTGTCAATTGTGGGCCATAACCAGTTAATAACTCCCAGTAATTTTTCAAAATCATCAATTGTTTATAATTGATCTCTCCTAATTTGCACTTTCTGTGGCTGAATTTTTCTGTAAACCTATCTCATATCCTAGGTAATTAATAAAATCTTTTGTTTTAATGTACGGAATATTTGTGTGCACTATGTAGATGTGTCTTTGCCAAAGGGCTTTTTGAATGGTTTAATAAAGAGCTGAATGACCAATACCTAGGCAGGGAGAGGTTAGGCAGGACTTCTGGGGATAAAGAGGACTCTGGGGAAGAAGAAGAAGAAGAAGAAGAAGAAGGAGGAGGAGGAGGAGGAGGAGGAGGAGGAGGAGGAGGAGGAGAAAAAGAAGAAGAAGAAGAAGAAGAAGAAGAAGAAGAAGAAGAAGAAGAAGAAGAAGAAGAAGAAGAAAGGAGGAGTTGCCAGTTAGCACTGAGGAAGCAGGATGGGTTAGTATGCAGAGGTGAGAGATTGAGCCACACTACTTAACATGGATTTAAAAATATGGGTTAACTTATAAGAACTAATTAGGAACAAACCTAAGCTAACGCTGAGCTTTCATAATTAACAAAAAATCTCTGTGTCAGTATTTGGGATCTTTGTGCCCAAAGAAAAATCTGTCTACTTATGTATAGTTTTACTGTGTTAGAGTTAAAACCTTTCCTTTTTATGTAGACAAAAGCAGGGAAATGTTATGGGATTATCTTTTTGTACACTATGAAGACGTGTCACTCTGATTGGTTTAATAAAAGGTTGAATGGCCAATAGCTAGGCAGGATTTCCAGACACAGAGGATGCTGGGAAGGGCAGATGTAAGGAGGCATGGCAGAAGCAGAAAAAGCTGGATAGATAGTACGTAGAGGAGGTAAATGGGCCTTGGGGCAGCACATAGATGAACAGAAATGGGTTAATTTAAGTTATAAGAGTTAGCTAAAGGGGGCTGGAGAGATGGCTCAGAGGTTAAGAGCATTGCCTCTCTTCCTAGAGGTCCTGAGTTCAATTCCCAGCAACCACATGGTGGCTGACCACCATTTGTAATGGGGTCTGGTGCCCTCTTCTGGCCTGCAGGCATACACACAGACAGCATATTGTATACATAATAAATAAATAAAAGAGCTAGCTAAAACAAAGCCTAAGCTATTGGTCAGGCTTATATAATTAATCATAAGTCTCCTTGTCATTATTGAAGAGCCAACAGTATGATTAAAAAAAGTCCAACTCCACTTCTCCGCAGGAAACAGTGTTTCAACCTGGAGGAAACCATTATCTAACACCAATAGTGCCAGCTACTCAGTGGTGTTAGCTTTCCTGGAGAGATAGGAAATCGGTGATGTGGGCAGCAAATAAACAGACTGGCAAATACCCACAGTGGATTGTTTATTACTGTCTGTCTAGATCCAGGGCCATGGGATCCACACATACCCACAAATACCCACAGTGGAGACCCCCCAGTGGATCGTTTATTACTGTCTGTCTAGATCCGGGACCATGGGATCCACACATACCCACAAATATGTAGACAGAGTTACATGTATAATTACACATATAATTAAAAGAAAATTTATTATTATTTTTTGACAGGGCCTGTTTGGTTTGGAACTTGCTGTGTAAACAAGGTTGAACTTGAACATAGATGAGACTGGATCCAAACTCACAAAGACAAACCTGCCTTTGCCACTTCAAAATTATTAAAATATCAAAAATATTAAAAAATTTTAATTTTGGAGACTTTATTTTTATTTCTTGTGTATGAATATTTGTCTGAATGTTTGTTGTACCATTTTCATGCAGTGCCCTTGGAGGCTTGAAGAAGGCATTGGATCCCCTGCAACTGGAGTGACAGACACTGTGAGCTGCCAAGTGGGCGCTGGGAATTCAACCCCAGTCCTCTAGAAGAGCAGCCAGTGCTCTTAACCTCTGAGACATCACTATACCGCATCATAAGCAAATCTTAAAAAAGTAAATAAATGTTTTTTTCCATTTTTTGTGACTTATTCATTTTTTAATTTATTTTAAAATTTTTACATTTTATGTACCAGCCCCAGATCCCCCTGAAAACAAATGTTTTAAAGTGAAAAAAAAACAAAAGTTTAAGAGTTTTGAACAAAATCTTTCCTTCAGAAATATACCCTTGTATAAAAGGATATGTATAATGCACTGATTTTAAAAATAGGTGCTTTTTCTACCTTCCTTCCCTTGCTGATACGACAGTGTAAACCTGTGACGGCATGGCAGCCCTTTGAGTTACGAGGTAACAAGCAAGAAAACAAGAGCATGGTGATCATGGAAAGAAGGGGGAATAAGATAAGGATCCCAGAGCTGACTTTTCATTACGTCAAGTCACAACTGTTTCTTATAAGCTGCTGTTTGCCTCTGCTTCCTAAGTACTTCCTAAGACCCATATACTGGTCTCCTGCAGTCTATGTTCTTTGCGTAGCCAGCGGATGGATCCTTTGGAATGTGTCAGATGCCAACAAGGAGAGAATCCCACTTCCAGCCGTGGACTGCCCTTGCTGTGTCCTCTGCTAGGTCTGGCTTTGCACCACTCATGTCCCAGTAGGACTCTGGAGTCACGTGCGGATCAGCTTTCATTCACTAAGAACAACTCAAAGGAGGAAGGGTGTATTATCGCTCACAGTTTCAGAGGTTTCAGTCTGTGGTTTCCGCGGTACCATTGTTTGTGGGGAGTCAGAGTATCATGCCAGAAAAGGTGGAGGAGTTGAGCGGAGGGAGGAAGGGAATAGGAGAACAAGAGACAGGGAGAGGAAGGGACCGTAGACCCATACAGCCCCCGGCAGCATGCCCCTCAAGGGCCCACTCCCTTCAGCTAGGTCACTCCTCTGCTTCCCACAGCCTCCCAGCAGCCCATCAATTTATGAATCCATCAACGGATCAATCCTTTCATGAGGTCAGATCCCTCTCACGATACCAAAGCCCTTGCTTCTGATTACTGCTGTAATGGGCACCAAGTCCTCAGCACACGAATTTTCAGGCAAGGTCTCAGATCCAAGCATGGCAGAGAGATTCCCCCCCCCCCCCCCTCCTCTCTTCCACATCCCTGTGGCTTTGTGACCTTCCTTTGTTCATTTCCTGCAAGGGTGAAGAGGACCCTTTCTCTTCCTCTGCCATTTGAGTGTGATTTGGGGAAGGGGTCAATCCCAATGCTGTTAAGACCCACAAGCCGTCCTATGTACTCACCGTGTCTGCTATCACCTATTAAGTGCTATATAAATGTTTCTACCTTTGGTAGAAAAATGTCAGCTCGGTGAAGGTGGATCCTGGGCGTGGCAAACAGGTGCACCACGAAGCTCTGTCTGAATGTTTATAGAATGAATGGCAGAGCAAGGACTGTCTGAGCTGAGATCTTGGAGCGGCTCAGGGTCCGGTTTACGAAAAACCGCAGATGGAACTCTTGACAGGGTCCATTGCGAGACCTTCAGGGGCCAGGGATTTCAAAGCAGGGCATGTGAGGATATCAAGAAATTAAGGGGCGACGATAGCCTCGGCATCCGATGGCCAGCATCGAGAGGGAGTGGCTGACGACATGGCCTCCGCAGGACAGGGGTGTGGACGCCAGTGGGAACCTAGGCTGCCGCTTCTGGATGCCACGGACATCGCCCCACCGGGGAGGGTCTGTTCGGGTTCGAGGAGCGCGAGGGCGCGCGGGGACCTCTCAGGCTGCTGACCTGGGGAACCAGAGGCAGCGAAGGCTTTGGGCGGCGCCCCAGGGGCACGCAGAGGCTCACGCTGCCTAGAGCTGGGCACACGCAACTCGGCGTTCCCCGAGGACCGCCGCGGACTCCGGCGGGGGCGGCCGCGGGGGCGGGGTCTGTGGGGTCCGGGGGTGGGACCGACGCGGATTGGCTAGGCGCGGCCGCGTGACCGACCCCTTATAGGGCGTGGCGTAGGGCCGCGGCTCGGGTGCGGTAGCAGCTGGCGGGCGAGGTCCAGGCGGCTCGCTGCGGCTCGGCTACGAGCCCCTGGCGCGCCGCGCCCTCGGTGCCGGGCCGCGGAGCCGGGGATGCTCGCGGCGCCCAGGAGTCATGGTCCGCTTCGGGGACGAGCTGAGTGGCCGCTATGGGGGCCCCGGCGGCGGGGAGCGGGCTCGGGGCGGCGGGGCCGGCGGGGCGGGTGGCCCGGGCCAAGGGGGTCTGCCGCCGGGCCAGCGGGTCCTGTACAAGCAGTCCATCGCGCAGCGCGCACGGACCATGGCCCTGTACAACCCCATCCCAGTCAAGCAGAACTGCTTCACCGTCAACCGCTCGCTCTTCATCTTCAGCGAGGACAACGTCGTCCGCAAATACGCTAAACGCATCACGGAGTGGCCATATCCTACGGGGGCCTGGCCGGGCGGGGACCGGCGGAGGTCAGGGGCTTGGGCGACATCGGTGTCCGCGCGGCGGGTCCGGGAGGGGCGGCTGGGGCCTGGGCGGAGGCGCCCAGTGGCCATCTTTCTGGTGTTGGGAGGGGGTGCGACCCGGGAGAGGCGCGTCGCGGACCCCACGGGCCGGCGATGAGGAGCGGGGCGGAGCCTCTGGGGCGGTCTCCGAGTGCGTGTGTGCGTGGTTTGGGTGTGCGCGTGTGTGGTCGTGGAGGCCACGACGGACTGGGTGCACGCTGGGCGGAGCCCCTTCTGACCTGGGGCTTGTCCCTTCGTGCACTTGGTCTTGGGGAGGCAGGTTGGGGCACACAGTATGCGGCCGTCCTGGAGGACACGGGAGGGCGAGTCCGAGTCTTGCAGGTGTGAGGTGGATGCAGGTTCTTGCGCGTGCTGACTGCAGGTGCCTGCGTTTGTGTGCGGGCATCGCTTGAGCCGGTGCTGCGCGTGCGTGTGTTCGGCATTCTTGGTACATTATGTTCACGTGCGGGTGTAGATACTTGTGGCTGTGTCTTTAGGTAAGGGCGTGCGCCTGCGCAGGACCCACTTCTGCTGCTTTGGGGGGCTACTGGAGGGTTCTCCCGTGGCGCTGGCGGGCTAGGCAAGGCAGCTGTCCGTGGTGCTGACGGCGTCGGAACTAGCGGAGGGGCTGGGCAACTGCAGAGGCCCCGCCTCTTGGCTGCCCCCAGAACTAGGGCGGGGAGCTGAGAAGACTAGCCTTGAAGTGGGGAAGGTGGGTGTCGGCCAGCAGTACTCAGCCCTGGCTACTGCACTGCGCTGTCCTCATCTTCACTACCTCCGTAGCGCCTCCTAGCCAGTCCTTAACCCACACACGCCCTTCGAATACATGATCCTGGCCACCATCATCGCCAACTGCATTGTTCTGGCCCTGGAGCAGCACCTCCCTGATGGGGACAAGACTCCCATGTCTGAGCGCCTGGTGAGTGCTGGCTAAGGGTTTGGGGGGGCTGAAAGCTTGGATAGTGGCAGGTTGTCTGATGTGTCTGAGCTGGACAGGCAGGGCTCTGTCCTGACTTTCTGTCCAGTGCCAGGAAACTGGGTGGCCAGTTGAGTGTGATGAAAGATCAGGGAATCACTAGCTGGCGCCTTGTGACTTTAGCTACCCCTCCTCCCAGATGGTTCATTTGTGCATGCTATGCTGGCCTTGACTTAAGGACCCAGTTCTAGACCTGGAATGAGGGAGGGGTATTTCTCAAAGATATAATAAGAATGTCAGGCTTTATGGGCAACCCTGTGGCCAGCTGACCCTTTCCTGCCATATTCCCTAAGGAAGCACTTCTTCCCAAATGTTTCAAATCCATATTCTCCTCTAGTTTCTTGCCAAGAGTTTCCTAGAACCCAGTGATGTCCATTCTGGGAACCAGAAGCCATACCTCTGGGATTATGACTCTTAAGGAGTGGGAGGCAGGATTGAAGGCCAGCCTTCTACACTCAGGAGGTTTGAAGGGCTAGTGTTACTTCACAGGTGAGGGCACAGCCGCCGCTCTCTCCTGCTGCCCTTTTGCCTGGGCTTAGCATGTGCAGGGTGTGACTGTGAGACTATAGTACTTCTTGTATGGAGGAGAAGCTAGTGGGGTTCAGAAGGACCCTGGGGACTGAGCTCTCTAAGGAGAAGAGGCTGCTCTGTTCTCTCTCCATCCTGGCTGTTGCTTCTCTGACTTCAACTCAGATAAAGCAATGTGTAGCTTGGGACCTGGCATCTTGCTGAGCTCCTGTGTGGCCTGTTTCCCATTCTTTTCTGAAGTTTGGCAGGGGAGGTGGCTCTGAGAAGGTGGACTTCATGACAAACTAAGGGGATGTTTAGGATGGCCACCTGGGATTGAGGATCTTCCTGGAGGACAGGAGAAGGCTAAGTGGGCTTAGAGAGTATAGACTGGGAAGGAGGATTGTGAGTTAAGTCAGGTTTCAAGGCAGAGGGTAAGTAATGGTCTCTGGACACCTTTGGTCGTGTCCAGAAGGGTTCCTCTGCTCCTTTGGGCTTCTGGCCTAGTAGGAGCTCTGCTTGCTCCATTCTTGTGGTGAACAGCCATTCCAGAGGCCAGAGAAGGGAGCGAACTTGGAGGTTTACCAGGTTGAGCATCACCAGCGCCAGGCCATAGGTCATGACCATATCTCTAGGGAACTCTAGCCCATAGGCCAAGAGGGTCACAGGCCAGACTGAGGTCAGTGCAAGGGGCCATGAACTTAGGCATCCTTTTTTCGCCAAGTCTCGTGTTCAGCTTTCTGATTACCTGTGTCAGAGCAGCAGGTTTGCTTGGTGTTGATAATGATGGGAATGGGAAGATGTAACTTTTGTGGCTAATCTATTGGGAAAACAAGCAGTATATGCCACTTTGGGCCTATCCTGGAGCTCCAAAATGTTCTCGACTAAGCTCAGCCTTGCCTGTGGGCTCAGTCCTCAGGGGCTGTGAGGATGAACAAAAGACAGACGGGCTTGGACAATAGAGCTTCTAGCTACCTAGCAGTAAGGGGCTGAGTGGTTTTAGGACCCCAGTGTGTCTAGCCTCACTTGGGGTCAGTTCCTCCTCTCTGGGGCCCCTGCTTCTTCCTTACTTCTCCTCTATAGCTGCCAAGCCTCTGTCTTGCAGCTCAGCGGCTCTCAAGCCATTGGCATACCTATCTTCCTGTCCCATCAGCCTCAGTCACGGGTCTGGCTTAGAGGAGCTGGGCAGAAGAATCTAAGGGAGGACTTCCTTGCTAGTGGCTCTAGAATATGGTCAGTTCTTCTCTTTTTGTCCATAAAGACATTGTGAGGTCAATTTCTTCTTTGGTGCAGATAGTCAACAGTCCCTCCCCTTGAGGAACGAAGACCCTCCCAACTAAACTAGACCAGAAATCTTGAGGCCAAGACCAATGCGTGCATTCCTTCAAGAGCTTCATCCCTGTCATGAGTCAGCATCAGGAGGCAGAACAGGGACACTGGGCCATCATGGATGCTAAGTGGCCAGGCTCCTTGTTCTACTCATACCTGCTGATAGCCACTGCCCTTTGCAAACTTCAGGGCCATCAGCCAGTCTTAGGGACTGACTCCCTGTAGGCAAGAGAGGGAGGATCAAGCTCATGTGTTGGCAAGGCACGGGGCTCTTGAGGGTCATACTTCTTGGAGAGAGGCTCCAGCTGAAGAAGTTAGTTGGCTCATCTCATGTGGCAGCTCCTTGGACCATATAGACCACATGCCCAGTCTTCCCTCATGGGGGCATGGTGTGTTTGAAGAGCAGTTTTTGCTGGAGCTGGTCCTAGGGGCCAACCCTTGTGAATGGACTCTGGAAGCCATCCTGCTTCCCATCCTTTCTTCCTATTTTTAAAGCTGCTGCCCCAGAGTGTAGCAACTGAATCATGCTAAGCCTCCTTGTCCAGCTCCCTGAAGCTGTCTGCTCCCTTCCCCTTACACCTGATGCTCCTATTGCTTTCTACATCCGTGGTCCTGGAACATCTTCTCCCCATGCTTCCTACTGTTTGCTCGGCTCTGGTCCTCCCCAGCATCATTCCTTGTAGGTGTTGGCTAAGAAGTGGACATGGGGATCTTATTAGAGTCCCTGTCTCCATTCCCTTGGTCCTACTGTTTTCTCCAACAACAGTCTTTCCCTTAGACTCTAGCCCTAGAAACTTTTGTTACCACGCCTTTGACAAGACTCCTTGAGCCTTGGCCTGTATGGGTTCCTGGGTTTGCTCCCACCTCCCAGCCTCATGCCTACTGCTGGGATGTAGGCCTAGCCTGTAAAGGGGCACTGTCCCCTGGTCTTCCCAATATTGTCACTGTAGTTTCCTTAATGCTGGAGCTTTGCTTCTCTTTATTCCCCCATCAGAGTTTCCATGTTCTGCTTGTCTATGTGTGTTGCATGTGTGAGTGAGTCCCAAAGCAAAGACTAAGGATGCCAAGCTTTCCAGGTGACCTGGCACAGTGGCCAGAGCCTAGGGTCAGACCCAGGTGGCTGTTGGGGTTACATATGGTCTCTGGTCTAGATACTCCCTCTCTGTGCCTTTGTGCGCTTGGAAGGGAGAAGACCTGACTGTATAGAAAGAGTTGGTGTAGTTAATACAAGGACTTGATTTACAGGCATCCAAAATGAGCATCATCACTACCCTTTTTACCTCCTTGAGCAAAGTCTAAAGTCTTCTCCATGATTCCAGCAGGACAGTCCTGGTACCCTGTGAATGGAGCGGCAGCTGGGATGACAGAGTAGAGATCTAAGGTCGTGTAGGCACGATCAGGGCACTGCTGTCACATTGACAAATGGTAGATCCCATTATTAGTCGTGTCAGGTGGTCACACTCAGGCTAGTGGGAGCGAGCAGTGCACACTGGAGAAGCCTGAGGTGCCTGGCAGGGTTAGCCGTGGGGTGGTCTGTGTGCCCATCAGACAGGGACTGCTGAGTAGCCATTTTGCTGAGGGGACGGAGGTGAACACTGTCCTGTGCTCCTCCTCAGGATGACACGGAGCCTTATTTCATCGGGATCTTTTGCTTCGAGGCGGGGATCAAGATCATCGCACTGGGCTTCGTTTTCCACAAGGGCTCCTACCTTCGAAATGGCTGGAATGTCATGGACTTCGTGGTGGTTCTCACGGGGTAGGTGGGCCAAGCCCGAGTGCATTGGTGTGTGCTGCCCCACCATAGGGCTGAAGTGGAAGAAATGTTCATGTTGGTACCCCATCCCCTGAGTGCAGTGCAGAGGGTAAAGAACTCTCTGTTATACCTCTGGACGAATGGCGATTGCTTCTCCCCACTCAGCTTGCTGGGCTCCCAAGTAAGGCTCTCAGAGACATTGGGGTCTGTTCCCATCTGCTGTGCTCTGAAGACCATGCTTGTATTTCTACTGTGTTTTCCCAAAGGGCTCACTCCTAGGCCTATCAGGAGGAGCCTGATTACAGACCCTAAAAGCAAGGCAGGCACTATGGGCACTATTGATGGTGTAACCAGCAAGTGAGGTGCTTCAGAAGGCTCTTACCCATCTGTGATCTTGAGAAGCACTTGATATCTGAGCCATTTCCTGTCTGAGAAGCTACCTGGGACGTCTCCCTGATAGCTCTGTGCCACTCCACTGTGTGAGGCTGAGTATGTGATCCCAGTTCTCGCCCTGGCAATGTTTCTGATTTTAGATTTATTCAATGTATGGGTGTTTTGCTTGCATGTATGTCTGTGTACCACATGTGTGCATGGTGCCCTTGGAGGTCAGAAGAGAGCACCAGGTCCCCCAGAACTGGAGTTACTATGTGGGTGCTGGAAACTGAATCTGGGTTCTAAGCAAGAACCACAAGCGCTCTTTGCTGCTGAGCCATCTCTCCAGTCCCTCCGCCCCTGAACGTGTTTAGTTACATTGTATGCCTGCTGCTTCCTGTCCGTCAGTCCTTCCATACAGTGACCAGATTAAAACTCCCTACCTCCCAGGAGCTTGCCCATCTCCTGGCCAACTCGGTTGATTTGTCTGCCTAATGGGCATTGCACAGTCTTCTTCCGTTTCTCTGGTGTAGGCTGTGGGCTGGGGAACTCCTGTGCTGGGGGGCCGAGGCTGTGGTTGGGATGAGGGCTACTCACACAGAGCCTGTGGCTTTCTCAGAGCCTCTGTCCTGGTCTAGGGATGGCAGTGTCATCTTCCGTAGGGCCTTGTGGTTGGGGATTAAGTGCCAAGATCAGGGCATAGGGAGCTGGCCCACTACAGGTGAGAATGCTGCACTTTTTAAAATGGGAGCTAGGGTGGTTCCATCTCTGCCCACCGACCTCCATGGTGCATGTAGGTGTATGTAGGAGGGGGTTGAGCATCAGGAAGGAGGTGTCTGAGAAGCCTGGGTCTGGGGCTTCAGCCACCATGCTCCCTGTGGTTGAGGAACAAAGGAAGTTAGGTAAGACCTCTGGGCTCCTAGGTAAGACCCACAGAGTTATGGGAGACAAAGATGCTCCCCATCTTTGTGTTGTAGCTTCTGTTGTGAGGTCCACGTTTGTAAGGCTGAGGCTTGGGAAGGTGTAAGGTTTGTCTTGTAGAGTTATCTGGTATTCCCGAGGAACGTAGTGTAATGGTGGCCTCAGTGCCACCGTGTGTGATCTTTGCCCACATCTGTGGCTTGCTCCTTGTTCTAAAGTGGGAGCGTGTTTACAGAAAGCCCTCGGTAGCTTTATGGATGCTTGCTTTCCACCGAAGACACAAGTGAAGGATCACGAGGGGTTGGTAACAAGTGTGGCCCCTGTGGGTCGGGTGTTCCCCACGTCCAGGCTACCACCTGGGGCATCCGGGAGTAGCTATAGCTGTTTACAGTTCTCTTTCCCTTGAGTTCAAATCCCCGAAGACAAGAATGGTGTCTTATTTTTCAGAGTGTCCCCTGAGCCTATCTTGGGGCAGCCATCCAGGAGGGGGCAGTGAGTGGTGGCAAAACGGATGGATGCTGAGGAGAGGCCGGCAAGGGATGCTGGACCCCTGCTACTAGAATCTGCCACTCAAGGTGTAGGGTGCTAACCTTCCTGTGAATGCCTGTGAGACTATGCCAGGGCCCCCAAAGGAAGGCAGGACTGTCTCCTAGTCTTGGAGACCCCCTGTCCATGTTCTGTTTGCCCCTTCTCCCTTTCTGTCTCTTTGTACAGCTGTGTTTTCTTTCCTTCCACTTCTCCACCCTTTCTGTTCCCCTCACTCTCCTGTCTTCCTCCCCTCTGTCGCCCGTCTCCTCTCAGTCTCTTGCTTCGTGTCTCCGCCCCTGTCCTCCGTGTCCTCGGGAAAGCTGGCACTGCTGTTGTGGTTTTAGGTTTCTTCCCTTGTAGCCAGCTCCTTGAGGTAGTGCCAACCCCAGGTGGGAGGGTGATCCATGTTTCATGGAGGCCCGCACGCAGGACCAGAGCCACACTCGGAGCTGCTCTGATGCTCCTATAGGATAGAGTCACGAGGACCCGAGTGTGTCTGTGTTTATGGGAGGCTTTGGTGGAAAACCCAGGGAAGAACCCATCTCTAACCCTTCTGAGCTGAGGTCCCAATGGTAGGGTATATGTGGGGGTGTGGCACGTTCTTGTTATTTTGTTGTTTTAATTAGGCGTTGTTTAATTGGTGCTTAGAGGGTTCGAGGCCCGGAGGGGAGTGGCAGACAGCACCCTGGCCTGTTGCCTAGTGAAGCCAGGTATATCCCCAGTGGCCAGCAGGGGTCTCTCTGTTCCTGACGCTGGTTGTGAGAGATGCCTGGGTCGTGGTAGGGTAGGGAGTTGTGAGCCACCACCCTGTTCTTAGAGAAGCTGAAGCTGGGTGCCTGCTGCTGTCTGCCTTGCTTCCTTCTCTGGTGTCTCGTTCTCTGCGCCAGCGGATATGGTACAGGGGCTGTAATCCACTAGGTGCGCTGGTCACTTGCTGCCCTCTCTGAGGCAAAGCTGTGATCTGGTTGTGGATCTGTATAGGTCACAAGGATGCCTCTGGGAGCCTGGGGATTATGAGAGATGGAGTATGGGCTTGTGCTCGGGAGTCTGGCCCCTCAGTTATGACTTCCTGTTTCCCACTGGACTAGCCCATGGATTACTACCCAGACTGTTGTCCCTTGGTAGGATGGGGACAAGTGCCTAAATCTCCTAATATGAGCCCTTCCTCACTGCTAGGAGAAGGGTTCCCTTCCTGGTCCTACAGCTTCCTGCCCACGTCCTTTTCCACGGACACTTCTTTCCGCATACTAGGATGAGTAGGGCCCAGAAGTGCCCGGATAGGAGCCCTAGTTGGAAAATGACAGAAAGAGTCACCGTCCCAGTGCAGCCAGGGGCCTCCTGAGAGCTATGTCCTCCTCCTCTTCAGCCTGTTTATCCGTGCCCATCGGCATCATGTCCACCCGCAACCCTGTTCATTTTTCTGAGCACTTGGGCGTCTCGTCTGCTCACACTGCTCCAGCCACTCACCATTAATCACTACGTCCTCGGCATTTGCCAGATGTTGTGAACATGGGGACAGAGCCACAGAGTCCCTTCCGGCGAGTGGTGTCCAGAGTGGCAGGCATCCTTCCCAGCCGGTTTCTCATCAGTATACGTGATCTCATGCCTGGATGGTGCTCACATATGCTGCTCTGCCTCCGAGACGGTAGCCAGGGCAAGTCTGCACCTTGGCTAGACCACAGTGCTTCTTGGCACGGACCTGCTCAACAGGTTATGAAAGGGCTTGATCTTGGTGGGAAAGTGGGTGAGGAGTACATAGGGCAAACTTTGTATAGGCAGTCAGGGAAGGCTTCAGGTTTGGGAGGGCATGAATGGGCTTCAAGGCTTAAGGGTATAAACTACTTGATTTCTGGGGAGAGCTGTGGCTATGTTCCTGACCAAGAGTATAGAGAGACCAGACAGGATCGCCAGGAACTAGAGAAGCTGTCTCGGACTGTATGCTGGTTTCTATACCCGTGAGTTGCTCGGGCAGGGAGGTGATGGAGACCCAGGGGAACACTTGTGTTCAGCCGGGGATTCAGGAGGAGTATGCTCTACTACAAAGCCAATGTCGGAGGGAACCGTGTGATGTGGCCTGAAGTGAATTCGTGTGTGGGGGAATGAGAATACCGAGTATGGGGGCCTCTAGGGGGGACCTGTTAGTGATGCTCATTGTTAAAGGTGCTTTGCAGCAAAGCAGGAGAGAGACGGTTGCGTGCTGTGGGTGGAGGAGAGAGGCACAGAATGGCTGTGCTTAGGTGGGCAGGGGTGGTGGGGATGGCTGGAGTCTTCACAGACTGAATCTGGAAGCAAGTGCGTCGGCTGGGATGTGTGAAGATGAGTGAAGGGCTGTGGAGACTGAGATGGAGGAGACAAATGTAGGGCAGAGCAAGGAGGGGTGCAGAGAGAGGGAGAGCAAGTGCGTGGGGCCCCTAGAGCTCCCCTCGCCAGCGCCAGCCTTCCTTCCCAGCTGCCCTCCTCCATTGCCTGCTCCTCACCTTGCTTGGCCGCCTGGAAGGTAAAATTGCTGGAGATGCCTCTTGCCTTCTACCCTGTTTAGGTTTCTTAGGACACAGAAGTACCCCAATAGGTTTCTTGTCCTTCTGCAGGCCACGTTTTTCTGGATATATGAACGGACTGTCCATTTGCCCTTGGGGAGGGGAGGGCTCACAGTCACTAATGGGAAATTCTGTTGCTGGTGTCAGGAGGTCCTTGAAAGACAGTTTTGGTGGATGTGGTGGGGGGCAGGACAGGGCCATGGTCTGGGTGTAGGGCAGTCGAGTTGGGTTTATACTGGGCACAGGGAAGAAAGCAGACGATTGAGACCGAGGGCACTGGGGCAGCAGCAGCCTGGGCAGAGACTCCAGAGAGTTCAAGGGGCGTACCGAGAAGGCAGAGTCTCCAGGAACCTCTGGCACCTTCCACATCCAACCCTCAGTTCCCAGCTGCTATCCTTTCCGTGCTCCCTATGGTAACCGTCATACTTCTCCCACCCCACACTCACCTTGTCACTGCCTCCTCTCTTCCAGGACCCCTAGAGAACCCTGCCATGGCCTTTGGCCTGGAGGACTTCATTTCATAGGTAACAAGGACCTCTGTTGTGTGGCCTAGCCTGCTGCTTCCCCTAATGGCCTATGGAGACACAGAGAAACACGTCTTGGCTCAGGCAGGTGGCTCCCTGGGGGGGGCATTTCCAACCACAG